TGTGTGAACTGCCCTGTGGAGAACAATATATTCAATTATCATGACAAACTTGACCGAATATGAAACAAGAATCTCAAAGAACCATATTAATGGAGAACAGCTGATAAATGAGATATGAACAAAATTCAACATGCAATTGTACCAACAAAGAAATCATCCATCCATTTTCTTCTGCTAATCTGGTGTCAGGTTGCAGGTTCAGTGGCCCACAAGGGAGACCGAGACTTCCCTCTTCCAAGCCCTGGTTCAGCTCCTCCAAGGGAACAGTTAGGCATTCCCAGGCCAGCTGTGGAACATCGTCCCTTCAGTGTGTCCTGGGTCTTTCTCTGGGTCTCCTCTTGTGGGACCCTATCACCTCACCAGGGAGGCGTCCACCCCAACCAGATCCTAAGTCACCTCTACTGGCTCCTCTTCCTATGGAGAAGCAGCAGATGCGCCTGGATGACCAAGCTTCTATCCCTAAGGGAAAGCCCAAACAACTTACAGAGAAAACTCATGTCGGCCACTTGTACCTGTGATCTTGTTTTTTTGACCTCTACCATCATCTTATGACCATAGATGATGGTAGGAACGTAGATCAACTGGTGAATCAAGACTTGCCCTTTGGCTCAGCTCTCTTCATCACGTCGGACCGGTACAGTTTCATCGCTTCACTGTAGACCCTACTCCAATCCGTCTGTCGATCTCCCATTCCCTTCTCTCATTCGTGAACAAGATCCAGAGATATTTGAACTCCTCCACTCGGGGCAAGACATCCCCCTCGACCCGGAGAAGGCACTCTACCCTTTTCCGGCTCAAGACCGCACTCGGCTGCGAACCGCTCCAGCGAGAGCTGCAGATTACAACCTGATGGAGCCAACAGAACCACATCATCCGCAAAAAGCAGAGATGCGATCCTGAGGCCACCAAATCGGATCCCCTCAACGCCTTGACTGCACCTAGAGATTCTGTCCATGAAAGTAATGAACAGAATCGGTGACAAAGGGCAGTCCTGGCGGAGTTCAACTCTCACCAGAAACGAGCCCGACTTACTGCCGGCAATGCGGACCAGACTCTGACACCGGTCGTACAGGGACCTGACAGCCTGTATCAAAGGGCCCGGTACCCCAAACTCCTGGAGAACCCCACTGGACACCCTGAGGGACACAAAAACACATGTAGACCGGTTGGGGGAACTCCCATACACCCTCCTGGACTCTGCTGGGGTTGTAGAGCTGGTCCAGTGTTCCACGACCAGAAAAAGAATCACACTGCTCTTCCTGAATCTGAGGTACGACTATCCGACGGACCCTCCTCTCCAGGACCCTTGAATAGACCTTGCTAAGGAGGCTTAAGAGTGTGACCCCTCTATAATTGGAGCACATTCTGCACGGAGCCCCTTTTTGAACAGGGAGACCACCACCCAGTCTGTCAATCCAGGGGAACTGCCCCTGATGTCCATACGATACTGCAGAGTGGTATCAATCGAGTAGATCTTTAGTCACCTTGGTGACCACCGGAGATTGGAGAGCTAGACCTCATCGCCTTGGAATGAGGTCAGTGTGCTACTCAATAGAAAACCATCCTCATAATGAATAGCCCTCATCTCAAAAAGGGGGACTTAACCTGCCAGGTAGCACTGTGCCACAGCCTGACAAATAGCAGGACAAAGGCTTAGGACAGATGTACAGCTTGCAGTGATGAATCTAGAGAGGCATCCATTTTTCCAGAAGTTACTGCAGTCTCCTGAATGTTTCTGGTTACCTCCACAGATAGTGGAGATAGTGTTGGATAGTGATAGTTTGTGGATCATTTTAAAGACGAAACAAAAAGAAAAGCCGTTTGATAAAAGGAGCAGCTGCTCTATGATTCATAACATTTTAACTGAATAAACATAACTACATATAATAAACATATATAAAAATGACATTTACATAAGGTAATAAACATTTCCACGTCACCTCCGATGTCAGCTCTTTGGGATCCCCTCCATTCTTACGTCACCGCGCGTTCTGATTGGCTCCCTGTCACATTCGACAGGCTGCAGTGATCGGGCCGAGACCACGATGAATATTCAACACACCACCACTAACAAACCACACACTGCAGGACGTCGTAAGATTGTTGGGAACATCAGACATCTGACGGTCACCCTGACCCATTCAGACAGAGAACAAACCCCAAACACGGCAGAAAGCCAGTCCCCGAACAAAGGTTTCTATTACCAATGTGAGCAAATCTTCGACTAGATTCTGCTCATATAAAAATAAAACACGACTTTGCAATTGGGTTGTTTCCATGAAATAACAAATTGAACTAAAATCACACATGAATAAGTTTGTTCATGCAACATGTCATCAAACCCAAGGAAGTGACGATGTAAACAGTTTCATGAAATGTATTCATAATCCATCATCTATCAGCCAATCAGAGGAGGCGTCGGATTCAAGCCCCGCCCCCGGTCATGGGTGGACAGAGTGATGGATTCAGCAGGTTTATGATTGGTGAGGAGCCAGCAGCCCATCGCCTGAAGAAACAGACCACCAAGAAGAAACAGACCACCAAGAAGAAACAGACCACCAAGAAGAAACAGACTACCAAGAAGAAACAGACCACCAAGCAGAAACAGACACCAAGAAGAACAGACCACCAAGCAGAAACAGACCACCAAGAAGAAACAGACTACCTGGAAGAGACAAACCCGTGTTTCTCTGGGAACACGTGACGTCCTAATGACGACAGAATTATCCAGGTGTGCAATTATCACCTGATGTCAGTCCTCCTCCATCACAACCATTTTTAAATCACTATAATAAGAAGTAATAGGTATATGATATAATTTTATCTGCATCAGGAATCATTCCGATTTTAACTTTTACGTCCAGACATGTTGAAGTGATTATGGTTTTCCTGTTGGTTTATTGCTGTCTTTGCTTTTGATCAAACCTGTACAGAGTGAATGAATGTCTGACCGTGTCGAAGGGACTAAACTCATGTTGGACCACAGAACCAGAGGTCAGTGACGGATCAGAACCTCGATCCTGATCTTGGTTCTCCTGTCTCTGGTTACCTGTCGTGGTGGGTTGGGGGGCCAGTCAGCTCGTTCCCCACGCTGATGACCAGGTTGTGGTCCAGGTGAGCTGGTCCTCTGTGAGACGGAGACCTCTGCAGGAGACAACACAGGTAATCTGATCTATAATCGGTTTAATATAACAATAGTAATTATAATATATCCTGATCAATCAAGACTCAGACTTTCCAAATGTCCTACACTGAAAACAAACCCTCGAATGCACCACATGTGTTTTTTCTGTGAGCAATTACAGCCGATCAATAAGTTTGATCAGAAGCTGTTTTCCTCCAAGCTGATTGCAGCTCGGAGTCTCCCGGTTCCGCCGCCCTCAAGTGTACCGTTTAAATCGGCTCATTTCTGAATGAAGTCTGGTCTGCAGCCCGTTAGCTGGAACTGACCAGAACCTTTCAGAACCCAAACACTGTCCTGCAGTTCTGGACCGATAGAAGACCCGATTCTGATAGGAGGAATTAACAGCTTTTCATAACATTCGGTTCGGTCTGACTGACCTCAGGAGGCGGAGCTCCGGCCCAAAAGTCCCCGCCGCGGTGACCTCCTGGCCCGGGGGACGGGGGCCTCCGGTGGTCCCGGTACTCCGGGTAGTCCTGGTGGTAAGGAGGTCTCGGTCGGGCCCTGTCGTCCCGATATCCCTGTGACGGGTAAGGCCTGGCGGGAGGCGGGTAGCCTCTGAACGGAGGCCGGCCGCGGAACATCTTCTCCCGCAGAGTCGCGCTGTGGCCGCGCGGGGCTGCGGGTCGGTACGGCGCGTCACAAGCAGCACGAAGCCACGACTGGTTCCGGTCCGCAACAAGACAGACTATTATTTTATCAATGCAGTGGTTCCGAGTTCGGCTCCGAACCGTACACACTGAACCCTTCTTCTTTGTTTCTGCGGAGCATCTCGCTTCCTGATAGCCTCACTGTTGCCACCGCGTGACGAAGATGCGGTACTGCAGGGGCGATCCAGAGCCATAACATGAACTTTGACCTGTAGAGAAATCCTGAGCGCTCCCGATGTTCTGAGCCAGTGCAGAACAGGTTCTGACCTTGGAAGCAGAGCTTCAACTGATCTCCTGATTCCCAGAGAAAATATTTAGTTAATGAGGAGATCCAGGAGTGATCCAGGAGGAGATCCAGGAGTGATCCAGGAGGAGATCCAGGAGTGATCCAGGAGGAGATCCAGGAGCGATCCAGGAGTGATCCAGGAGGAGATCCAGGAGTGATCCAGGAGGAGATCCAGGAGCGATCCAGGAGTGATCCAGGAGGAGATCCATAGGTCCTGAGATGATTTAATCCAGCTGCAGATTTACAGGAGAACCTCCAGAGGGCGCTCTGTCACTCCAGCCTGGACTGGGACCCACAGAACCAGAATAGTTTGAAATATTAAGCAGAACTAGTTTCTAAATGTTTAGACTGTTATTTAAAAAAAACACACAAAGAAAGTGATTTTTTAAAATTCAGTTTTATTGACAAACTCCCAAAAAAAAAAAAATCACAGGTTTATACTTTTTAACACAAACAGAAACAGGGAAAATCGACCCAAACTATGTTAGAAAGATTTGAACTTGGCTCCTGTTACTGTGATGGAAATGGGACTGAAGCGCTAAAGGTCTGGTTTACAGGCTTTAATCTGCCTGGCAGCGACGGCTCTGAACCGGACCGTCAGCTCATCCGCCAAGGTTCTGCTGGACTTTGTGGGTTTACCTCCACTTGTGCAGTCTGCAGACATCTATAAACAAATGATGCCGATATTTTTCCTTTTATAACAGGAAACATCACCCAGATTATTATGTAGTTTGATAACTCCAGATATGTATGTGTAGCTGTAATCCAGAAGCAGCAGCTCTGCACTCTGATCTGCATGGACAAACACAATCCCCCTAAAACCCAAGCAAAGCTTTCAGCTTTTCGGGTCCAATCAGAGTTCTGTTGGACTGGGTTTTACTCACAGAGTCTCCGGGATGTGAAGGTCTGATGGGTCGTCCTGAGGTCCTGCTGCTCTGCCTTCATGCTTTCTTCAGGGCTAACCACCGAGGTCTTCCATCAGTCTGCAGGTCTGACTGCCGTCTGCCAGACATTTACTCTGCAACTTCTATACTCGACATATCTAGAGGTCCATGAAAACTCAAACAATACATTTAATCCACTGCAGTTTATGACGTCTCCCTTCGCTGCCAGAAGGTTTTTGGGGGTCAAATGAATTTAGCAGACCTTGCAGCTATATTTAAGTCCCTTCTAATCATAAAGGAAGAGTTGATGAAATGAGAGGCAGCGAGTCACATTTATAGGGAAGCATCTGGTGAAAAAGACCCAGAGCTTCTTCTGATGAAGGAACCAGAAGGACATCAGATGTTCTCAATGCTCAGCCAACTGTAAACTATTAAACTGACACCAATTCAAAAGTTTTTATTTACATTTTTCTAAAACTCATTTCATTGAAAAACTTCATTAACTTTGATGAAATGATTTAATTCAGTTTTGCAAGAAAACCAGAAGAATTCCTGCAGAGGAAACTTCAGTATCATCTGGGGACACATCTGCTGAAAATCACATAAAATTAATAACAATGATGGGATATTTCAGCTGACAATGAAATGGTTCTACTGTCAAACCTCAACATAACTGTCCTTATGGAGCATCAATGAGATTCATCTGAACTAGCTAGCTACTGGGGGACATAAGAACCGTGAAAGAAAGAATGACGCCTACATCCCTGGAGCATTCTGGGCGTTCACCTCCAGCTCCCACTTTTCCAGAAACTCCTGCAGGTTCAGGTTGAAAACATCAATGCCTTTAGGCGACAGGTGGATGCCGTCACCCCGGTACAGCCCTGTGTTGGTGCCACACCGGATGTTGTCGTGGTTCACCGAGATGCCTCCCAGATCCGACACAATGCTGTGGATTCTGCGGTTCACAGTGGTGCGAACCAGATCCACTTCATAGCTGTCTGGCGAGTGACGCCACACCCGGCGAGGGAGGATGTCGGACCACACCAGGAGGCAGTGTGGGAAGATGCTCCGTATGGAGGCCATGTCCTTCTTGACGGAGGCCAGCAGGTTAGTGGGGCTCTCGGTGCTCAGGTCGTTCCCTCCCAGGTGAACTATCAGGGCGTCCGGGTTGGGCCATGTGATCTTCAACTGGTGGAGCTGGGGCAACAGCTGGGACCAGGTCATGCCCTGGATGCCCTTCCACCAAATGGTCACCTTGTTGGGGTCCATGCCCAGCTGCATACCTACCTCTGGAGACTTGGCCCGCGACTCGGCCCAGTACACAAGCGAATGACCACAGATCCAAACGTTCTTGGGCTCGCTACTGATTGGTTTACCTAAAGATAAGAACAGGACAGTTCAGGAAGTGAGAGGGCATCATCTGACAGACATGATTTTAACGCATCTCAGATCACGCCACAGACTGCTTTCACAAAGATCCACTAAAGCCTCTTAATCTGGACGGCTTCAATGAGGCACCAGAGATGATCCAAGGCCAGGCGAACAGAGACATGCTCAATAATGCACCATGTATACATGATATCAGAATGCATCATTGTTTAGGAATAATATTGCATTACAATTAACAGAGCGACCAAACATCAACATACAGACACCAGGTCGAGGATTGAGGATTTCCACTCTGATGGATGGATGAGATTATCCTGATCTGACGCTGTAGCTCTGCTGCTACAGGCTGTGGAGGACAAAGTGACCATGCTGCTTTCTCTACTACTCTCCAAGTATTTGTGATCCACAGCTCTTGCTCTCTGGTTTGCATGGCATGTCCTGTAAAACCTGGAGTTTTGTCTTAGATGTCGCCACTACAGGAGCTGCTCCTGCCGTTAACTCTTTAACATAGAAACTTGTTTCAAAAGTCAGACTAAATTAGAATGTAACTGACTCTGGATGCTGTCCCTGGTGCCGCCGCCATTCTGGTCGGTCTGGGTATTAACTGGTTTTGTTCCACAGTCAGATGATGTTATAGATGGTGGACCGCTGAGCTCTGAAGTAAATAGTTAACCGATCTTTGTGAAATCAACCTGGAGCGTTACAGAAATAAGTCGGTACAGATCGCAGTAAAGTTCCCCTCCAACGCCCTGCAGGTCTCAGCGGTCTCCTACCCAACTCAGTTAATGTCTGAATGATGTCCTCTGCAGCAGGGATGAGCAGTTCGCATCAGGGCCTCATGACTAAATCGACATACACACAAAACATGTGGCGTCGTATTTTACACTCGGCATGTATGAAAATGAACACAGCGTGAAAGTGTGCATACATATAAGCAGTTTTTCCCTGCCGAGAAAATGTGCAGCAGCCACACAAACTATCTGAACAATGATAAACTCCAAAGAGTCAAAACTCACTGAATTCACTGAAATCTGATTCAGTTATTTTGACCAGGAAGCATCAAATCCAAAGGTTTTTATGATTTTAATATTTTAGTGTTTAAACGTTGAAACTGAACCGATTTATCCTCAGACAATAAGCCAACAAAAAATAACAAAGATGTGAAAACATCACAACATGTAAAAATAAATTTACTCAGTTTGTCTCAAAGATAAAACGATTTGTCTGAATGAATCTATGGCTCATTTATTCAAGAGAAACCAGGGCTGATCAATAGGTTTGATTACTGCAGGTGATCAATAATCTGAGGTATAGCTGCTCCTGTGGCTCTGATGGAGAACATGGAGCCATTGATCAGAGATCATATTGATCTGCTGGTTTATTGGCGTTTAGATTGATCCAGACTGATCATTGTGGGGCTCTGAGCAGAACTTGAAGCAGGAACCGGGACCAGAACCGGTCCCGGTTCTGGTCCCGGTCCCGGGTCCAGCTGGCCCGCCTTGTGGACAGAAAGCTTCTGCTAACCGTATTTAGGATAAAGGTTTAAACCGGCTGAAGGCTCTGCTGCTCCGTCTGACATTTATCATTTATTTGGAGTTTTTATGTCTTTAAATGTACTTTTATTTTTGTAAGGTGACCCTACATGCCCTGATAATAAACTGTTTTATTATTATTATAAATACCATGGCAACCGCCATGTTGCCATGGTTACAGCTTCACACGGCGGCAGACTTCCAGGTACTTCCAGGTATTTCCAGGTGTTTCCAGGTACTAATTTAGATCAATATGCATTTGTGGAGGCGATTGCGGATCGCAGCACAGCTTCATACAGCTGGAGTTTCTAAATTTGTCCTACGCCGAGTTTTAGTGTGAAACTGATACCTGAGGCCCTGATGTTTTGGCATTTATACTGTATTTAAAACGCTTTGCAATGTTTCTGGCTGCGACTGAATGTTACTGCAGTTGAAGCTCCACAAGCAACAGAAAAAACAGAAAACTAAAACAATACTTTTTAGTTTTCAGGTTAGCAAACAGATTGATGAGTTGGTCATAAACTAAAATAAATCAAAATTTATGCAACAGTCAAAATTATTCTATGCAACTGCCCATCCCTGCTCCATCATGGCATCAACTTCTGCAGAGTCCAGAAAACTGACCGATCGTTTTGATCTGATGTCTTGAGTTCAGGAAACCGAGAAAACCTGCAGGGTTTCCTGTCCAAACTCTTGACTCTCTTTTCTCCTGATCCGTTTCTACAGGGTAAAACTCACTAGCTCGTACAAATATATAACTAATATTCACTACCTGAAGAGATTTTGTTTTAAATCAATACTACAGCTTCTAAAGTGAAAAAATGTGAGTAATGAATGTGTTGAGATTAAAGAGGTTTCAATGTTTCACAGCTTCAAGTTTAGAGCAAAAGTATTACTTTAGCTTAAGAAATCAAAACAGTCACCTACCTTTACTGTCAAGAGAAAATGTCACTCTGCAAAGTTTATCATTTTAATCAAGTTATAAAACCTTCAAATAATCCAAATACGGAAAAGCACCGCGAGACTTTTACCTGCCGTCTCTAGTTTGGCTCCACATCCTTTAGGTAAAATTCAGACGTTGAAATGTGTCACGCAAAAAGTCAAGCAACCATGAAGAACATCACGTTTTAACGTCTAAAGGTTCAGCACAACGAGTGTCTTTGCCAATAAACGTGTGTGCTCCTCCTCATCTGGCTCTGACGGTTTGCTCGTGGTCCAGTACTTTGTTTGTAGAACTGAAATGAACTTCTATTAGCTAATCACCCAAAAGAACGACTTTAGACCTAGGATGTGCCAGTGAACAAGCTGTAGCTCAGATCTATACCTAAAGGTGTTTAATGTTTATCGTTCAGGAAACGCCCAGGTTTCAATCGATTCAGCAAAGAGGATTTGAGGGTAATGTCATCAATCAGGTAGTTCTTCATGTCAAGAAATGTAAAACCCACCCTGGTCTAACAGAGCAGCAGTGGAGGAGCCGGCATTCGGTTCAGGCCCAGCGACTTCAGAGGGCCGATCCGTGGTCAGACAGCCAGACCACAGAGGGCGGCCGACTAAACATCGGGACCGGAAACTTTCCAAGACCTCTGCTAAAGAGGTCAGAGGGCCGATCTCAACACGGTGATGTTGAGTTTGGATAAAACACATCTGGCTCCATGCCACCAAAACATTGACATGTCTTTTCTTTCTCCAGTTTGTGGTTAGCCTTCTGCACCAAACAGTCTCTATCAAAGTCTACCAGCATGAAGAGAGAAGATAGGACACCATTAGATGGGTCTGTGTTTAAATGCTGCCTCTGTTCATCGCTGTTATCAGATTTTCATTTCAGTTGCTAAACTCCATACTGGACCAGTCTGGTCTAAACTGGGAATGTGGATGCTCAACCTGAGGATGCAAACAATACAAATTCTCAGCACAACATGGAAAAGTTGCAGACTTATAGTCACAAAGTTAGGAAAAACTTTTTAATAAAGGTTAGTTTAACGAAGTGAAGGTGATATCAGACTAACCGACGGGAACAGAGATCCTGACTTATTCTGTAACTATGGTCTGTTTGAAAAATACAGTTCAGATAAAACTTTCTATTCCAATAACAGAGTTATAGCTGTAGATTAGAAGATCCTGGAGAAAATCTACACGCTTTTATGTCAAACTACTCAACGTTACAGCTAACTGATACTTCAAGCATAAAGACCCTTAAATCGATACGGTTCTGTTGGCTGCATATCTACGGCACAAAGGCGGGTCAAAACTCTAAATGTGAAACTAAACGTTTAGAAATGAGGAATACAGCAGAACATGTCTCTTGTTCAGCCTTTTCCACCAATTAAGGCTTTTAGCAGCTACGCATTTTCCAACCGATACAGAATTTGGATTGAATGTAGCAGACAGAACAAATTACCATGACCACAACTCTAAATATAGTCTGGTGGGTTTTACTTACTGTTCATAAGCTTTATAATGACTAGAGATGCTTTGGTGCAACGTCTTGCTGGATGGTAGACTCTTTCAGCTTAGGTTGAAGAAAACAAAACCGAAGTGAACTTACCCGGATGGGCTTTACTAGCACCTGTCTCAAAGACGCACCACGAACAAAACGCAACATCCGGCGAAAACATGAAGAACAGGGACCGCTACCAGGGCTGGCAGGAACCCACGAGGCTTTTATCAACATGGCTTTTATGTTAAGAATGAACAGATCCGACCCAAACATACAACAGGTTCTTTAATTTAAACAGACTTAAGTGCTTCCTAAATGTGATTTAGCTTTAGCTTCTAATGTTTACCAGAAAGACAGTGAGGTCTAAATTGCAAGTGATAAATTACTCTAACAGGTGATGCTAATATTCAGATGTAGCTTTCTGCTCTTAGCCTGACTGCAATGTTGAGAAAGTAGCAGCAAGAGACCAACAACTAGCTCGCTCTAAGTGAGCATCCCTAGTTATCTGACTGAACCCTGCACTCATAAAGCCATGTCTACAAAAAGCCATCCTGCCCTCACCAAGTCCCGGAGCACATCTTCAGCCTAAAACATCATCCACATTTCGCTCCAAGATTCTCCCTCAGGTAAGCGTCATGACCCAGTTGGTAGCACACAGAGTGCTACAGAGAGCAACGAAACGCTGAAGACCCACAGGATTAAAGCTGTGTGAAGATGACGACGAGATCTTTTTTCTGCAGAAGATCCTGGTCAAAGCCGAGGGTTTGTTTCTGACTTGGTGCGCATCAAACATTAAATTCAGGGAGATCATCAGAAGTGTCTACACTCAGTCACCACTGGGGCACTGAAGACTTCCAAGCTTGATGCGGCCCATCTGCCGACCTTACAGTTAGCCAGCTGGTGCTTTGGTAGATGAAGCTAGCATGGAGGAACTGCTGGATGCAATGTACTGCAGCAGCTGCAGTGAAAATCAGACTGTGGTCCCCAACTTTTACAGGATCTTCCTTATTAATGGGTTATTAGCCAATACACCAATAAATCAGTTTGCCACTGCAACCTGTTTTAGCTACACACATTTTGTCCCAACTTTACTGGATTAGCTTGGTTCTGAAAGCTGCTACGCCATGCTAACAAGCCACTTAAAACCCATGAATAACATTTGTTTATGAAAGTATCTACACAGTCCTCATCGGTTGCTCCTGTTCAGATCAGGAGGAATCGACTCCTGGACTCAGCTAATGTTAGCATCTTCTTGATAATTCAACCTTAAATATTTCAATGGGTTAGGGTTAGGTAAATTAAGTTTCTATAGCCCACTTCAAGACTGTCAGTTTTAAAGTTGGGGTAACTGGAACCAGGTTTTACTCCCAACACACTGGATCTCCGAATTTCTATCAAAAATGAATCTGAAGTCAAGTCCAATTCCTTCCTTATAAACCAGTGGGTCATCAGGAGCAGAGGAAGAAAACGCTTTACTTTGCAGAGTTGAGCTCGCAGTCGGCTTCTATGATTGCTCAAAGAGATGATGCATTAGATCCAGCTAACGACTTGCTGACCATCGTCTTAGCCACTGGTTTGTGGCTCCATGAGCTTGAACTGACGCTTTGCTCATGTTCCAGACACTGAAGTCATGCTGAGCTTTACATGCATGCAAAAATCTCTTGGCCTCTCATAAGTGGAAAACAACCACATGCCCTTAAATGTAAAAATTCTATTGCTGCGGTAGAATCGTGCTAACGGACATGTTTAGGTAATGTGGGCATGTCTGAAATAATCTAGTTTCTTGACTTGGTCCTTGCTAAAGTCATGTTTACATAAACTAACCCAATGAAGGGTATCTAAACTTGACCTCTTGTGAATGACTTGAGCATGTCTGAAGACAGACGTATCTGCTACATTGGACCTTCTTGGAAGAACCTGGATGACCGAAGACTTCAGGAAACAGCAAAAAGTTTGGTTGAATAAAAAGATGGCAGCACCGAACACAGCATGCAGGTATTGTCTGAGGTGGACAGTAAACATAACTATTACATGATTCCTTGCTAGTTAAACACATCTGCAATTAATGAAGATATACCTGCCGGGACCGGCGGACCCTCTTTGTTCCTCTCTCCTTGTCTCCTGAGGGTAAGCCTCTCTTTGTACTCCTGTTCCCTCTTCTCCAGAAGCCTCTGATTATACAAATCCAGCTGTGACACAAGCACCACATCTTTAGCAATCTACCAAGCCAAGAACAGCATCTTCCTAGAAACCTAGGTCACTTGTAAAGACAGATGCTGTTTCTTTACAGTGTTTTACAGGCTAACCTGGGCTTGAGCGTGTCAACAAGGGCTCTGCTGATCTTACCTTCTCCTTCTGCTTGGCCTTGATGTCGTCGTCCGTCTCCAGTGAGGGCGGCGAGCTGCTGAACGACACTGAGGGTAAGCTGAACTGGACAGATTTAACAGGTTTGACTGGCGGCGGGATGCTCAGAGACTTCACAGTCTCAATCAGGTTCAAGCAGCGCACCACTGTGGTAGACATAGGCGACTGGTCGCAGCTTGAAGGACTTGAGGTTACTGGTGTCACAGTAGGAGTGAGTGCGGGCTGTAAGGAGGTGGCCCCACTGGCGGCCGAAGCGGGACTGGCTAGGCCAATGAACGGAAGAACCGTATGAGTGGAGCCTGTCGTGAAAGGAGGGATTCCGGCCGGGCGCTGGGGTGGAGGCCCAGGAGGCGGACCAGGAGGGTGCTGTGCCTGGCGCCGTGGAGGAGGTCCTGGTGGGGGGCCTGGGGGACGCAGCAGCCTGGGGTGGGGGTGGGTGGCTGCAGGGGGCTTCAGGGTCGTGGGATGTGCTAGTGATACCAAGAGGCCAGTTGAGTGGGGGGGTTGGGTGCCGGTAGTGGGCAGGAGGCGGCCCTGGAGGTGGTTTTGGAGAGGAGACGGTGGATGGTGCGCTCCCTGTTGTCTTGGTATGGCTCTGCAGATGTTGCGCCTTCTTTTGCTCTTCAAACTCATCTTGGTCAAAGAATTTCTCATACTCTGGAATGGCCGACTTCGGGTTGCTGAGCGGTTCAGTGCTGGAAGATCTGGCAGGGGAGGGAGAGTGGATATGATCCCACAGAACCAGTCCTGCCGCTCCGCAATTCCTTCTTAGGAAACGTCTCTCTTTCCATTGATGATGACTTGAAGCTCAAGGTTTTCTCCTGAGCTTTATTGGCCAGTTTAGAAACCTCTCCAGAGCTCAGCTTGAGCCCAATTGACCGCAGTAGACTTTGTATCTTATCGTAGGGTTCTGGTTTCTGGCCATCACCTGTTTTCTCTACTGAGGGTTGTTTGGAGTTTGGCTGCTTTATCTCCACTTCATGGACCAGACTGCTGCTGGGCCGCTCTTGACCCAGACCTACAATTCGAGAGAAGCCTTTGCCATCCTGAAGGGCTCGCTCGTGAGGCAGGAGGTCATCTATAACATCCAAGGGTTCCGAGGTCTTCTCAGCAACAGTCTTCTTGTTAAGCATGTCAAGAAATCGGTGCAGAGGGGGTTTCTGAGCCAGCGGGGACTGCGGGGGAGTTGTGAACTTTCGATTGGGAGACGGTGTTCTTGGAGGAGAGTCGATGGGAGACGGAGGTCTGAAAGTGGAGACTGAGTGAGTCATGGGTTTAGCACAGACGTTAGCATCTTGGCTAGGTGGAGAATGTGGGGAAGAGCCACGAGGTTCTGGAGACCTACTTTGTTTTAATGGTGGGTAAGGATCGTAGGCGCGTTCCCTGTACTTGGGGTCGTAGAAGTGACTGTCATAATGCTCATTGTACACGTCATACCGATCAGTGTAGCGCTGGCTGGAAGAAGGGGCTCCGCCGTAGGGAGGGTCGCCATAGAGATGGCTGTCGTACGGCCGGTCTGCATACGGGTGAGGGTACGGGTTGCCGTAGGTCTCGCCGTAGCGGCGGCCTGGGAACGGACCGTACGGACGGTCATAGTAAGGGTCATCATAGGGAGGCCGGATGTAATCTGGTTCTTCTGGGCGCTTCTTGAGAATTGAGCGAGGCATACTGATCCTGCCATGGTCATAGTCGATGCAGGTCCTGCCTCCAGGCTCCAGCCCCCTGGGGTCAACCAGAGACTTCTTATAGGCGATCATCTCGTTAAGCTCCTCCAGCTCTCGTTTCTTTCTCGCCAGCTCAGTGTCTACCACCATGCCTCGCCGTGGCGGTGGGCTCGGCCTTCTGCGGTGGCTTTCCTCGCGCTCTTTGCTGGACCTGCTCCTCTTCCTGGAGCTTTTCTCTCTGCTGCGGCTTCTGCTGCGGCTTCTGCTGCGGCTTCTGCTGCGACTTCTGCTGCGACTTCTGCTGCGACTCCGGCTGCGCCTGCTTGACCTCTCTCTGCTTCGTCTGTACCTGCTGCTGTGTTCTCGGTCAATGCTCGCGCTGCGTCTCTTTTTTGCCACGCGGCCAAACGGATCTCTGGACGGACTCCGACTTTTGCTCCTCTCCTTGCTCCGGCTGCGACGGTACTTGTGGCGGGAGACGCTGGTGTCCTTCTTTATCGTTTTAAACACGGCCTTTTGTTTGTCTGACTCGGGTTTCTGGTTTCTGAAACGTTAGCAGAGATCAAACAGGGTTGGGGTTTCCTCATAAGTCAACTAATTCTCAACTACCAGTTCTGATCTTAACCTTTGCACTAACTGCTAATTTAATCACAGTATTTTATCCCGAATGTTTATTGTTCAATGGTAGGCAACGTTTGTATTGGAAACAGAATTAAAAAACAATTATATTCCTCTTTCTGTTGACCAAAAATCATATGATAAGTATGTCTTTAGGTATATCAATGAGAACAAAACAGTGTGGTCAAATCTTTACAACTTGACGTGCCTGAAGTTAAGGGCAATTTCTTATAGTTCCACTTTTTTACTGCTCACTCTGAAAAACACGGGCTTGCTGGCAATGCTCTTAATCAAAATGACATTTCTGAACTCAGAGATTTCGTGTCTGATCCCATAGTTTGCAGATTAAACCGCATTATGAGAAGATCCGAAGAATAGTGGACATTTACTCACTCAGTGGCGTCTGGGGGTTTTGCCAACTTGATGGTCATCTACAAAACCACAGGAAGATTAGCGTTGGAGGAAAACCGATCTCTGCTAATCGCAAACAATGCAGAGGAGCTCACCTTCCCTTTGGTTGCTCCGACGCCGCTCAGTTTGCGAACCGGGAGGAAAACTTTCTCCGTGAAGCGTTTGATCCTGATGGCCTGTTTCCCTCCGTCTGCTGTCGGATGCTTCATAATCACCAAGACACATTTCAGAAAAAACTCAGGATCATTCACTGTGGACTGAAAGCCAGCCGAACGTAGTAGCAGGACTGACCGGGACGACGCTGAACTCCACCTTCTCGTTCAGCTCCAGCTTCTTCTTCTCCACCACCTCGGACATTTTGAAGAACAGCTGAGGGTTCTCTGAACACTTGATGAGTCCAGAGTCCTCGGAAAACTCGATCACAATCCCCTGAAGAGAGAAGCGAGGCGTCAGACGGGCCTCCGGGAGGACGGGCGGTGTGCCTCCACGAGGACCGGGGGCCTCACGTGCGTCCGCTGCTCCGTGGACTCCTCGAAGGAGTCGGGGAGGATCTCAATGAAGGTGGCGCGCTCCTCCTTGGTGAGGCGGTGTGTGGCCAGGCTGAAGCGGACCTGTAGGAGGAAGCAAGCCATTACTCCTCCGGCCGCCGCTCAGAGTCTTGAGACTGCCGCTCCTCACCTTGTCTCCCACCAGCATGGTGGCCAGGGTCAGCAGGTCATTGGGGCCAAAGGTCAGTTGCTTCTGCCGGCCGTCCACGGTCATCACCAACCGACCCACCTCAGGGGGGCGGGTTGGGGGCCCCGATCTGCTGCTCCTCCTCCTCCTGCTTCATCTCCTTCCTCCCAGTGAGGCGCGTCGCCTCCTGCTGGTCGCCGTCCTCCGTTTCCTCCTGCTTGACCTGCTGACACAGAAACGGGACGCTCAGTTTCCAGAACTCCAACCAAAACCTTCACAGCTGCTCCACCTTCCACACCTCAGTGCCTCCTTTCTCTTCCTGCACCGTCTCCTTCGCCGTCACCTCCTCCTCCTTCACATCTGCCTCCTGCAGCGCCTCCTGCTTGGCCTCCTCCTGCTCTTCCTTGGGAGGGCTCCTGCAGATGGCTTTGAGCACGGTGCCCTGGAAGCGCTCCCTGCTGACCTCCAGCATGGAGTCGGTGACTCTGTACCTGAAGCCGAACGGAGTCCACTGCAGACCAGCAGCCCAGTTAGCTCAGTTAACGCAGGTACTGGCCCCACAGCGCCACCTGCTGCTCCAGCTCACCTTGTCTTTGGCTGCTGCCAGGCAGCGGCCGCCTCCTCCTTCCTCCTCCTCTCCGCCTCCTCCTCCTGCCTGCGCTCCTCCTCCCTCCTCTGGCGCTCCTCCAGCTCGCGGGCTTTCTGCTCCTGCAGGATCTTATCTTCGGCCGCCTTGCTCCTCCTCATCCTCCTTAGCCGGATCGCTCTGACCGCGGCTTTGTCCTGCAGGGACAGAACGACGGGTCAGCTTCTGCTGGCGGACAGAACCGGGTCGGTTCGGTCTCCTCTCACCGTTGTCACTGTGAACTCCACGTCTTTCCCCACGTCGTCAGAATCGAACTCTGCATCGCTGAAGTTTTCGCAGAGGTCAAAGGGCAAGTCGCCGTGCTTGGTGGAGCTGACGACCCCTCCTGGTCACCAAGCGAGGCGATGGTTCCCTGGAACAGGACGAATCCGCTTTAGGACCGGGCTCAGAACCTGGAGGGTGTGTTCACTTTAAAATCTGCTTCGGCTGAGGACTGGTTCTAATGAACCCCCTATTTTATTCTGTGAAGGGTCAAAGTTCATGTAGCTAACTGTTTAGCAGTGGAACCAGTTCAGTACCGGTTCCAGCGGGAAGGGTCCCGTCGGACTCCGGCCGGTACCTGCTCGCGGATCTCCTTGGTAGCGGAAGGTGAAGGGGATTTTGGGCCGGATGTTGGCGGCCCGCCTCTTGTTGGTCAAGGTGTTGATCAGCAGGTTGATCAGGACGTGGTCGTTCTTCAGCAGAGTCACCGAACAGTCCCGGTGGTCAAAGGTCACGTTGGTCCTGAGCGGACCGATGTTGGCGACGATCTGACCCGGATATCCAGGAACGTCCTCCTGTAGGGGGAATATGAAGAGAATACCCAGAAATGCAGGAGACTAACGGTCCAGCATCAGGTGATATTCTGAAAAAAGGATGAGGAAATGCTGACGCCAGAGAGTCGGCTTCTTATCGCTCGTCATTTAGCCTCATTCTTTCTGTGCTTGCAGTTCTGATCATCTGGCACCAATGTAGCTATAGCATTAGCTCTTGCTGTCCATCTTTACTATTAGAACTTTTTTCGAAACATCAGATGGAGTCTTCTAATGACCAGCTATCTACAGTTAGCATCTTCACCACCAACATCCCTTAACACCCAATGCCTAGATTTTCCCCACAGGCCCGGTGGCGTGGGGGGCTAAGGGGGCCCATTGCCCACCCACAGAGTCAGCGGTTCCCCTTGGAGTGGAAGTCGTGTGTTGTTTTACCTTAAAGTGGTCGTCTCTCCATTATTCCTATATTGGTTTGATACAGCAGCGGCTTCCGCACTTCCAATATCAGGGCCTTTTCTCACTTTTTTTTCAGCATTAAAAACTGTTTAATCTGTTGTTAACATGTCCTAACCTGCTTTTCCAAGCCGCCTTTAAACGCAACATGAGCACTAAGACGCAAGCTGGGTTTACACCTGCCTACGTCCATGTTCAAAAGTGGACAGTAGTTGTTACATTGACTTGATAACTTTTTTCATATTGTAGTTGCGACATGGATTCATTTAGCTCCCCCCAAAAAAGCAGATGCCCCCGTTAATCTCGTCTGAAGCCGGCGCCGACTCGTACTGGCGCTGGTTGGTCAAAGTGGACCAAACAGCCGACCCGTAGCGCAGCAGTACGGTCTGGTGTCACCTCGCCCAGAAGAACATCACTGCTAGTCTCAGGTTTGTTTTGACGCTATGGTTTGGGTTTAGCCGCCTGCCCAGTGAGAGTCCAACTGGCGTTGCAGTGTGGACTGCAGCGTCCAGTGGAAAAGAGACACTGTGGTTCACCTTCTTCAAGAACCTAAACCCGTAAGGGAACCAAGCAAGCTGTCGCGCCAGCTGGGATGGACAGAGCCTACCTTGGGCTCGATGATGGTCTGGCTGACGATGCCCTCGTAGAGCTCAGAGTCCAGCACCATGTGAGGCTCCAACTCCTCCGCGGACTTGGACATTGTCTGGTTGGGGCCCACAGAGACCTTCTCTCCATTGGGTCTCTCCAGTTCCTCGGGGGCGGAGCTAGAAGCACCACAGAGCGTCAGGAGGAGGGGCTCTTTGACTCGTTTGATCCTGACGCCCCGCTTCCCCCTCTCAGCTGACCCAGAGACACAGAACGTCACAACACAGTCCAACACAAATCAAACCGCCTCTCAATCATGAGTTCAGCACCAAGAGCTGCTGGGGAAGCAAAGAAGCGTACCGCCAGGACAGTGAACTCCACCTCCTCGTTGATGTCCTCCTTGGTGAAGTCCACATCACTCAAGTTCTCTCTGGTCTCGAACTGAAGCTCCCCGTGTTCTTCTGACTGAATGACGCCTTCGTTTTCCTTCAGACTGATAATGACGCCCTGCAGGACAAACACCATCAAGCAGAAGCTCGGCAGCAGGTGGGGTTTCTGGGCGGCGCCTCCTCACCTTCTCCCTGGTCTCCCTGGTGGAGCCGAAGGTGGCGGGGATCTTGGGTCTGATGTTGGTGGCTCGCCGTTTCTCCGTGACGATGTCGGTCAGAACGTTGATGAGCACCTGATCGTCCTTCAGCAGCGTCACCGAACTGTCCTTCCTCTCAAACGGCAGGTTGGTCCGCACCATGCCCAGAGTCACGTGCACCTGGCCGGGGTACTGCCGGTCGCCGGGCTGCGGGGACACCGACCAGAGCTTAAGACGCAGAGACCGTCTGGCCTGCAGACGGTCTCTGCGTCTTCTAGACCCAAAGGCCTCGATTCACCACCACAAACCGTGTTCTTTGGCCTGTGAGCGAGTCTCTGACTAGACGGTCAGACAGAGATTTAAAGAGGAGCAGCAAAAGCAAAGGCTTTGGGTGAGCAGAGCCGTATCAAGATGCTGAGCTGTTAGCAGACTAGTTGAGGGAGTTCACCACTGTTGCCTCAGCAACGACATACAACCCACTACCAGCTGAGTCTAAGTGTGATGTCATCAGCTCACTCTGATGACATCACACCACCCCCAGCCCTGGATCACCAGGTTACTGAAGATTGATGCATCTTGAGATTTGTAGTTTCACTGGCAGTACTGAGCTCAACATGGCCGCCAGAAAGGAACCAGAACCGACCCACTATCGCTGTCCGCAGCAATGCATGATGGGCTTCGGCTCCTTGGTCAAGACAGCAGAAAAACGAAGGTCTGAGTGAAAGTAAACTGGTCTGGACTCCCTGGACCAGAATCACCTTCTACTGGAGAGGAAACCGGAGCGAGGAAGAGCTGCGGCTCCTCCTCCTCCTCCTCCTCACTGACCTGCGGCTCCTCGATGGCCTGGCTGACCACGGCCTCGTAGATCTCCGGGTCCACGTTCTCCGTTCCCCTGGAGCCACTTTCACATCCGTGGCCACAGCCCGGTTCTGTCCAGGGAAGCAGAGACAGTTTCAGACGGCGGTTCTGACCGGAGCACGGGGAGAACCGCCACACACTCACCTTCTCCTTGCAGGCCGTGAAATGGACCCGGACGCCGGGCGTCAGGGCATTGGGGTTTCCAAAGAAGACATCAAAGCTGAACTGGAACTTCTCCAGGTCTTCCCTCTCGATGGAGCCGAACGTTGGCTGCGAACAGGAACATCGTTACTGACGGGTTCTAGCTGGGCCCGTCGGACCTCAGAGAGGCTGGCAGTACGGAAGCCTCACCCCGACGAAGGAGATGATCCCTGTGGATCTACCGGGTGGAGGCCTGGACACAGAGACGCTCAGATTAAACACCTGGCTCCAACACCTGGAGGACGTCCACACCGGAACCCACTCACCTCTCGAAGGTCCGCTTTCCTAGCAGCCCCAGCGCCTTGGCCGTGTACCTGGGCTCAGGCTTCGGGGCGGCAGGAGGTGTGGGGGCGGCAGCCGGGGGGGGTCAGGGGGCGCGGCTTTGGTGACAGCAGGAGCTTCAGAGTCTTTTTTAGTCTCGGCTGAAGTTGAGTCACCAGGTGGAGCAGAAATAAGAGCCTTGATCTGGAGGAGAGAAGAAAAGACTAAACAGGAAGCTGGTCGTCGACCAATCAGAGGCCAAAAAACCAACCAATAGGAGACCAGTTTAAAGTGGTTCTGCGATCAGAGCTGAATGGACCAATCAGTGAGCTGTTCTGAGCTCCAGGTTGGAACCAGACTCACCCACTCTGGTTGGTCAGGCGGCGGGTTGGGCATCGGCTCCTCCACCACAGGCTGAACAGGGAAAACAACCAAATCAGTTCTGATGATCTGACCAGAACCACGGATTTAGTAAGACCCAGTCCCCCTCTGAACCTCACCTCCGCGGTCCAGACCGGGCCGGGAACGGGGGCGGGAATCCAAACGGAGGCATGCAGCCCGGAGGAGGGACCGGCGGGACGGCCGCAGGGTCTGGAGGGGGGATCCCAATAGGAACGGGCGGGGGTAGAGCAGGTGGAAGGACCGGTGGGACAGGTGGAACAGGAGGGACAGGTGACAAGGCCCCCAGGCCCCATGGGTCCGGGCGCTCTGGACCCCAGCCTCTCCAGTGTGGGGTCGCTGCCAGTCTGGGGGAGGCACCCACTCATCAGGATATGGGCCCCAA